CACGAAATTAGCCAATATATACTCATTTGCAAACTAATTTGATTTTTCACCTGGAACCCAGCTGAATCTCTCGTTTGTCATGTTCTCAGGCAACTGAATGTGCTGCACCGGGCCGCCTCATGTTTCAGTCTCTACGATATTCGAGATATCGCTATACATGTGTATCTTTGTAATGTACTACTCATAAGGTTGCTGTTACTGATGTTTTTCATCGGGTCCCATTTCTGGATGCCAGTGGTATGGTGAGTGGCTACTTCAGTGTGTCAGAGAGTTTGCGCGTGTGTCTGTCCGTTCGTCGTTCCACCATCGATCTGGCATGTGACTTGAGTGGGCGATTGGGCGCGCATCCGATCGATTTGCTCACGTGAGCGTTGTGAGTTGACTGGATATGTGATTCACTGGATACGTGACCCGACACGAAAGCGTACCAGTTGGCCACGTGTATACAACACCCGCGTAATTACTTACGTGTTTTTCTGACTACAATATATGGCAAATCTGTTTTGGTGTTGCCATCAAGACGATAAGATAGATACCGGATAAAATAGCCCCAGATGGACATCCAATCTCAAACCTACAAGCCGCATTTTATTGGTTATGCATACACACACAAGTTTTGTTCACACATGAATTTGCGTGCACATTTCACTAAAGGTTAATACGATACCCCTTCCGATTACGTGTGCCACAAGCAAGCCTGTAACCAATCTCAAATTTAACCCTCTTAAACACTGTATGACCGGAGCGCTTGCCAGTGGCTATAAAAGTTGTAAACTTTCTATCGAGATCATTCTTGTTTGAGCGGTCACACAAGATTGGGGCTAATTAGTTCGCACCGCATAAGGAAGCTCCGGATGGATTTATTCGACCATTTTGATATTCAAACATTTGGCTTGCGGGACGAACGCATTGTCAGTCCTCCAGCAGCAGTTTACGAGAAACATTTGAATAGCTGTGTACGACGAGGCGTCAACGTTCACGCATCAGCGTTGGTTGTGGTACCTCACAGGAGGCTTCAGTGACTACCTCCGTTGTGCTGATCCACTGAAACACCCCTTGGATGTCAAAGTCGCGGATGCATACTGCTAATGAATTCAATCAAGAGCGGAACTCAAATCCACTGTCGCCCTCTTGTAATGTGAACCAACAACAATGATAGTCCGAGCCCAGGAAAAGCAGGACTGTTCAAACGAGGTTGATATGGACAAGTGCACTCATTTGCAAATCATTTGAATGTGCTGCACAAAGGCCGTCTGGTGTTCCAATTGGTACGTTATTCGACATATTGCAGTATAGTTTCACAAAGGAAACTACTCACAAGGTTGCTGAAAACTCTTCGACAACCCACGATCGGTTTCGCCCTTATTGGGGCGAAATATTGGACGGCATTTGTGCAGCACATTCACTTGAAGAGTTGCGTAAACGGAAGACTCTGTTGAGCCCCTAGTGAAAACCAAATTGATTTGCAAATGAGTGTATTTCTCGAAAACGGTCCAATTTGGGTTCAAGTAGAACATAAGGTTGACGGAAACTCGGAGACTGCGCCTACCTGATGGGCCGCAAGAAGGGCGAAACCGGTCGTGGGCTGTCGAACAATTTTCAGCAACCTTGTGAGGGTGAAATGAATTCTGGAAATTTCAAGTAATCAATCATTTCCATTCAGTGACATTTTTTCTACCAACAATTAAAGTGGTTTCAAAGTGGACAGACAGTTTACACATGTTTTACGGTGGACGACCACACGCAAGGCTAGTTTGAATGATTTATGAATTTTTCAGGTAAATATGTATGCAGGAGATTTTTTGAAGCACAGGTTCACGTGTTCTGAACTGACCCACGTGACAGAAGAGACAGAGAGAGAAACCAGAGTTGGAAAAGTTTGCTTGTCTGCAAATCCGCACCGAAATCTCCCCTGCAAAAGGTCATCAAGACAGAAGAAGCTATTTACAAGGTTGCTGAAAATTCTTCGACAGCCCACGACCGGTTTTGCCGGTTGCTGGTGGCTCATCAGTTAGGCGCAGTCCTCGAGTTTCCGTCAATCTTATGATCTACTTGAATCCGAAGATAGGTTCACCCACTTTACTGGTATCATTTCCTTGATCCTTTTTTGATAGAAAAGACTGTATACTCAGTGTTGGTAATCAATTAAGTTGTCTTCCGCTTAGAAAAAATCGTAAATGACCGAAAGGCGGTAACGCGCTTGAATATCCAGAGCTTTCAAAGTAGACGGCTCTTTCTTAAGGCAAATCGTGATCTATCTTCGCCTTTTATTCACAGGTGTCAACCTAAATTCCTCAGTTTTAAGGCACTTCTAAAAAACCTGAAGAGGCAACGCTTCTAGGTAAGTCAAAAGCTGTAAGGAATGGCCAGCTAACTACTGAGTGAATGATCTCGTGTAGCTGGTAGACGAAACGGTGCCTCCTGTTATGCGACTTATGGTGCTTTGTACAGGACGTTGGTCATCTACAGTGTGCGCTCTATTTGTGTTTTTTTGCTTGTCATCCACTTCACAGATTGCACTTTAGCGTTTTGTGTACTTTACTGTTTAGCTTTGTGTTATCTCAGCTTGGGAAATGAAGCAGAGCCTTGGAAAATGAACGTTACTCACCTTGCCATACTGATTTGTTTGCACCGGACACAGTATTATTCGGTCCTGGGGTATGCGTTTGATCAGCTTCCCTCTCGAATAACAACTCTTGAACATCCAAAGTGTTTCCGGATTCAGAATTTTTCTAAAATGAATCAAACGAAACATCAATCACTTGTCATTCATTATACTTTGGAAACACACAGCTCAAATATACTAATATTTCTCAACTTAAACAATAAAACAATTTTCTCTAGTGACATCACTCAGGAAGTCTGCAAGGTAAGAAACAACGGGATGTAATAGCGTCGAGTCCACCATGTATTGGTGTTTTTTCAACCTGTTGGCTATTGCACGACTGAGTTATGGACGTATCCAGCTCTGAATGAAGGAATAACTTTGCTCAACAAAAGGAATAGTTGCTTGGTGTTTTTAATGCACCAGCCTATCACAGTTTGTGTTATTTCAGTTCACACACTTCACAAAGCGTGATCAAAGTCAAAAACCACGGTAATTTGTGATACGTTTTCCAATAAAACATCCATGAAGGCCAAAGCCATGAAGCTATCTACCAAAGCATGATCAGTTTATTCAAGGCTTTAAGAGAGTGCTCAAAATTTCCCAACACATTACCAGTGAAAGGAACAAGCCCTTCGCTGCGGAGTTGTTTGTTGAAGAAACACCAACTGAACAGTTACGGACTATTGGACAGGGAAGCAAAACTCTCATTTGCATCTTGTTTACAGAAACTGAACATCCATCTTCTCCTTAAACGCGTTTCCTGAACTTTTCTGGATATTCATTGACTGTTACTCAAATGCAAACAAATGCTACAAAGCGACTCCACAAATTCCGTAATAGATGTCACTTTTCAAAAGACGTGAAGCTGATTTACGAGAAGACACTACTCGTAAGCCTCCTCAGTAGTATCCACCGTTACACTACTACTGGTGACCCAAGTTCAGTCCCCCCGGGATCTCACAACTCATTAGTCGGTCTTGTTCTGATAATTTACTCAATTTTTTCAAAAAAAGGCAGAATTATGTGAGAAAATCTGTGCAGATCCTTGTTGCAATTCGCTTGTGTAGTCGGTGATTTCAGTGAGTTCAAAAACAACGCGTACAACTTGGAAATCATGTCGCCGTGTCAGACTACATCAGGTCAGATGTTTTTTTGTACGAAGGGCCCTTGAAGTACCGAATTCAGCGGACTAGTAAAATTCAAAGAATGGACTACTTTGGAGAACGCTGACCGGACGCATACGACGCCTCTACACTGTGAGGTGTTAGTCACAGTTACACAGCCTTGAAAATCAGAACGGTCGTATATCTCCCCTCATTCGAGGCTGATGGAGATTGAAAAGTGTCACCGTCTCGTTTTTATCAGGTTAGCAGCGTACCAAAACAATCGAGTTAAAATGTAAAAAAAAATTCGCGGAACCAGTCGGTAAATAACCCAGTCAAGTTCATTATTTTACTATGAGGGCAAGCTTGTAGCAATTAGCAATGTCTTTTGGAATCCAGACTTTATCTAGTGTAGGGGAACCTGTCAGTATCCCAGCCCTCATGCTTTCTTCCGGTGGCATGGCAGCTAGGCACCGAGAGGGTTTCACAGCTGCACAATAATCTTTTTAGTAGCTTCATTATCTCAACAAGGCGTGTGTTTATTTGACTTCAGACTTTTTTCCAGACTTGTTGTACTAACAGCGTCCATTCCAGTTAGGTTGACCTTCTTCCAATCCGTTTCATCAGGTATAGGCGATTAGGCGAGTTACAATAGTGTCTGGTTACCGTGGGCAAATTGAGAACGGATGCAAGTATACATAGGATGTAACCAGTTTTGTTTTTTATCTTTTTTCCAATGATTGATGAGTCCGTTTATTGAAAAAAACCAGAATTGTGCACTCGAGAGGCTCAGTGGCTAGGATGCGAACTTACTGACCCCAAGGTCTGTGATTGGAGTTCAACCATGAGCTTCTCGAATGTCCCTGTCTATTCTCGGACAAACTGGAGTATCTCAACCCTCGTAAGTCCTGCAAGTTACACAGCAGCTGGACATCGAGGTAGCGCTACTGCTGAATGGTTATCAGTATAAAGTTGAAGCTTACATGTAGAGACGCAGCACTGTTCTGCCATGGTTGCTTATGTCTGGTCAAGTATCCAATGAATCTATATGATGCATGTCCATTTTAGCAAGAAATTCATTCCAGAATGCGGTGATTCATAGAAAAAAGTTTTAATATATCCTAAAATTTGAGAATACTGACTAAAAACTGGTGGTACTTTACCTATACATTGACTAACAGCTCCAGAGTAGCATTTGTTCATTGGCAAGCTCAAGTAGCTAACTTTTGCGTGGGCGACAAGATCTACCAGAAGGAGCTAAAGTACTCTTTCTACACAATTTTCGTGAACACCTCATCAAATTTTATGGAGTCCTGTTCGAATGGTGAATTTTCGAGACATCCTGATCAACATGTCTGAAATATCTGGGGAAAGCAACGAGGTATTTTCGTATGGAAAATGATGTTTCTTTGACTCCCAAAAAACTGCCTCAAAGAACCGTGTTTTGAGAGTAGATTGAAATTTTCTTCACCTCCAACAAACTACTTATTAAACTACTGATAAAATCCTTTTGAGAAACAGAAAATCTGGAAGACCCAGATAGTGGGCAGCGGCTGGATTAAACTACTCAGGTTTATTAGGGCAGGTTCGGGTGCTCATTCAGACACTCAGGATTATTCCACCTTTGTTTATTCCACAAGATGGGAAGAGAAGCAATAAGAATGTTCATTGATGGCTGGAGCCAAGAGGTATGGTTTTTTACACACCTGATAGTCAAATCACATTGTTATTGTTCCGGTTTTGGTTACACGTGAATTTCGTGGCTTTCGACAAACCCAAACTCGTCAAATCGCTCCAGGCAACAATATCATTTCGTTTAGCAGAGATGTCCTCGTCAGACACCCACATAACTCCACCTTTTCAAGGTATTCAGGAGAACAACGAGAACTCATTACTTACTCATAATATGAGATTTTTCAACGTTTATGGTTGTGGCAAATGCAGTAGGTGTCGTCTAGCTTGTCAACACTTTTTTCGGTAACGTGTTCTAAACCACAAAACTCCCCTCAGTATTCACAGGAACCAGATAAGTGTCCTGGATACTAACGCAAGGAAGAAAGCCCTTCGTTGTGGAGTTGTTTACTAGCAAACACTAGCTAAGCAGTTACAAACTAGTAAACAGGATAGTAAAATCTCTTATGCACACAGTTTAAAAAATGAACATCGTCAGGTATATTCTTGACCTTCCGTGGATATTCGTGAAATATCATGCAACTGTAAACGAAGGCTGAAATCCAGTTTCACAGGTTCCGTAGTAAACCACACTGGACGCGCGGCGGAGTTACGAGAAAAACACATACTACTCGCACGCATTGTCAGTAGTAACCTCTATTGCACTATTTATCTAGGCGTACTGATTCAAATCATCCGTCTGATGCACTTATCCACAAAACAAATGATATCGAATTATGAATACCCTTTTCTCAGACAACTTTACTCCTCCGGTGCATTTAAGCTCACAAAATAAAGAGTAAAGAGAAAAGGAGTGGAAACAAACAAACACCTAATAAGCATGAGAGGTTCTATTCACTTTGTAAATCACGATTGTACGATTGTTTCCAACGGGATCTTTGTCACAAGACAGAAAGAAAGGTTTAAGTGTGGGTTGATCGGTGTGAAGTGTGATTACCATTCACCTGTTGGTTAGTCTTCCTAGTTTCTTTTCAGAGTACCGAACAGCACCAGCTCGTTGAGGAGCTGGACACAAAAAGTTTTTTAAACAGAATCGAAATACCAGTGCCAGTAATTGAAAAAAGTGTCCACCTCATAATAAAGTGTCCATTTGCTGCGGGAATTCTATCGGTGAGCGCATGGGGAATGTAAATTACGTGACGTAGTTATTTGTTTCCCTGGTCCTCAGGCTAATTCATCACCCTCTCGGTGACTGCTTAAGTTTCAAGACTGGACCGTTCTATTTTATACAAAGTTGACTCTACCTCAACCGTTTTTCTGTAGACGATTTGTTTACATTTATTTCTGGGTCTGTCGTTGAAAATTTGTCCCACTTTGAACTGAACAACATTTCTCCCGTTTAATTTGTCCGATAGCACACTGCCCTTCCTGTGCCATCCTGTGTTGCTAAATGCCCAAGGTTCAATCTAACCGTAAGCCTTTCTTTACTTCTTCTCACGATTTGCTGTTAATTTCCTATGGAAACATGGTCTACCTATCTATACTGTCTGCCCACGTCCAATTCAATATATTGTTCAATTGCGACTACTGAAGAAACGCAGGTGAAGTTCGTAAAATTCAGTTTCGCCGCAGTTATTACTGACCGTCCGCCAGTGAATTAGACTACACGTTACCTGTCAGACGGGACACCTAGATCGTGAGTTTAGGCTAATTAAACAATTCCTTGCTTTGAGATCATGGCCTTAGCACAGGATCGTACAGAGGCATCACAAAAAGTTCCTTATTTATCAGACTACTTATTCGGGTTTTGCCGGGAGTTTGGTAAACCTCCAAAGAGTGACTCCTCTTTCGTCCTTTTGCTGAACTTCTTACGTTGTTCACCATGCACACAGGCAATCCATATTGGCCCTGCTACATCGATTAGGATTGTCGCCTCTTATTGATTAACTAGTCATGTGAAATTCGCATCGTATTCCTTCTCTAATTGGGTTTGATTTTGGACCTGCTAACCAAAACAATTTTTCCCCTGGTATGCACGGCCATTTGCATAGTGTCTGTCGGCTGAGAGTAATCGTGGACAAAAGACGAGTACAAAATATGTTCTTTTGTCTACAGACTCAGTAAGTGAGAGTGCATGGCAATTCTCGATGGGGATAAAACAGCTCTAAATTTGTTCTACGCCTTGAGGAATCGATTGCTCCCATCGCCATCATGAAATTCGGATGTGATAGCTTAATATCACATCAATATGTGCAACACATCGAAGATACTAACAACAGTCATCACAATGGATTCTCCCAACATTGCCCAGACTGTATTGATCGACACAAAGCAGCGTAACTCAATCGTTTGTGTATACCTGAACTAGATATCTTGTAAGCTAGTCCAG